GAGTTCGAGACCAGGCTGACTAACGTGGTGAAACCCCATCACTACCACAAAAATACAAACATCAGCCAGGCGTAGTGGTATGCACTTGTAGTCCCTGCCACTCGGGAGGCTGAGGCAGGAGAGTCGCTTAAACCTGGGAGGTGCAGGTTGCAGGGAGCCTAGATGCTGCCACTGCACTCTAGCCTGGACAACAGAGCCAGGGTCCATCTCAAGAAAAAAAGAAAAAAGAAAATGGGAATAAAGAGAATATTCTACCAGGTTCCAGAGACAAACAGACCTTATACATTGAGCATAAATCAGTAACAAAACATTTATTAACAGCAACTTGGGAATCTAGAAAGTAATGAAGCAACACCTTTAAAGTTCTGATGGAAAATTATTTCCAGCCTAGAATTCTGTACTAAACAGACAATCAATCAAGCTTGAGGGGCATGGTTACTTTCAGACATTCAAGGTCTCAGAAAAATGTTCCTGACCAGGCATGGTGGCTCACGCCTGTAATTCCAGCACTTTGGAAGGCTAAGGAGGGCAGATCACTTGAGGTCAGGAGTTCAAGACCAGCCTGGTCAACATGGTAAAACCCTGTCTCTACTAAAAACACAAAAAATAGCCACGTGTGATGGCGGGCACCTGTATCCCGCTACTTGGGAGGCTAAGGCAAGAGAATTGCTCAAACCCGGGAGGTGGAGGTTGCAGTGAGCCGAGATCACGCTACCGCACTCCAGCCTGGGCAACAAGAGCAAGGCTCCATTTCTAAATAAATAAATAAATACACTGGAGAGCTCATAGAAGGTAACCAAGACAAAGTGGAGGCCAGAAGGCAAAGACTGTTTCAAAAGATTAAAGTGAAAATCTAATGAATGTAAATATTTTGGGAGATGATTTAGACAATTCTAAAAGTTTAGAGTCAAATTAGTAGACTTTGACAAAAAGAGTCAAACTCTGTAAAATATTTTAAGAGACTTATTCTGAGCCAAATATGAGTAACCATGGCCCATCACGCAGCCCTCAAGAGGTCCTGAGAGCATGTGCCCAAGGTGGTCGAGGTGCAGCTTGGTTTTATATATTTTAGGGAGGCATGAGACATCAATTAAATACATTTGAGAAATACAGTGGTTTGGTCCATTAAGACGGAACAACTGGGGGTGGGAGTGCTTCCAAGCTATAGGTAAATTTAAACATTTTTTGTTGGCAACAGGTTGAGTTTCTCTAAACAGAAAAGAATATCTGGGTTAAGATGGAGGTTGTGGAGGCCAGAGTTGCTGCTGTTGTTGTTATTGTTGTTTTCAAGACAGAGTTTCACTCTGTTGCCCAGGCTGGAGTGCAGTGGTGCAATCTCAGCTCACTGCAACCCCCATACCCCTGGTTCCAGCAATTCCCCTTCCCCTCCCGAGTAGCTGGGATTACAGGCGCACGCCACCATACCCGGCTAATTTTTTTATATCTTTAGTTGACACGGGGTTTCACTATGTTGGCCAGACTGGTCTCGAACTCCTGACCTCAGGCAATCCACCCACCTCAGCCTCCTAAAGTGCTGGGATTAAAGGTGTGAGCCACCGCGCCAGGCCACTTTTATTTTTTAAATGGAGTCTCGGCCGGGCGCGGTGGCTCAAGCCTGTAATCCCAGCACTTTGGGAGGCCGAGACGGGCGGATCATGAGGTCAGGAGATCGAGACCATCCTGGCTAACACAATGAAACCCCGTCTCTACTAAAAATACAAAAAAAAAAAAAAAAAATTAGCCGGGCGTGGTGGCAGCGCCTGTAGTCCCAGCTACTTGGGAGGCTGAGGCAGGAGAATGGCGGGAACCCGGGAGGCGGAGCTTGCAGTGAGCCGAGATCGCGCCACTGCACTCCAGCCTGGGCGACAGAGCGAGACTCCGCCTCAAAAAAAATAAATAAATAAATAAATAAATAAATAAATAGAGTCTCACTATGTTACCCAGGCTGGAGCGCAGAAGCATGATCTTGGCTCACTGCAACCCCCACCTGTTGGGTTCAAGAGATTCTCGTGCCTCAGCCTCCCCAGTAGCTAGGATTACAGGTGCCCGTCACTACACCTGGCTAATTTTTATATTTTCAGTAGACACGGGGTTACACCACGTTGGCCAGGCTGGTCTTGAACTCCTGACCTCAAATGATCCACCAGCCTCTGCCTCCCTAAGTGATGGGATTATAGGCTCGAGGGCTTGGCTGAGAACAGAGTTTTATCATACAGATGAAGCTTTTAGCTGGCAGGCTTCAGAGAGAATAGGTTGCAAAATGTTTCTTATCAGTCTTAAAGTCTGTGTCTATGTTAAAGTCGGAGACGTATAATGAGGCAGGTTCAGCCCCCACTTCCCATTACGGCCCAAAACAGCCGCACAGGTTAAATGTTAAGAGCCCTGGCTAAGGAGGAAGCCCATTCAGATGGTTGGGGGGCCTTAGAATTTTATTTTTGGTTTACAGCAGTAAGTACATAGACAGTTACGTAACAACAAAAAAAGGCAATTATTAGCACCAGAAAAAACAAGAAGCGCAGGAAAAGTAATCTGTATAACATACGGTTCAGCTGTAACAGGATGTTTATTCACACGATCATTAGGAAAAAAAACAATGGGCCTGGCCCGGTGGCTCACGCCTGTAATCCCAGCACTTAGGGAGGCCGAGGTGGGCGGATCACTTGAGGTCAGGAGTTTGAATCAAGCCTGGCCAACATGGTGAAACCCCGTCTCTACTAAAAATACAAAAAAATCCGTCGGGTGTGCTGGCGGGCGCCTGTATTCCCTGCTACTCGGGTGGCTGAGGCAGAAGAATGGCGTGAACCCGGGAGGCAGAGCTTGCAGTGTGACGAGATCCCGCCACTGCACTCGGTCTGGGAGACAGAGAGACCCTTGTCTCAAAAAAAAAAAAAAAAAAAAAAGAAATCAGTCGGGTGTCCTGGCGGGCACCTGTAAGCCCAGCTACTTAGAAAGCTGAAGCAGAACTGCTTGAACCGGCGAGGCGGAGGTTGCATTAAGCAGAGAGTGCGCCACTGCACTCCCGCCTGAGCAACAAAGAGAGACACCGTCTCAAAAAAAAAAACAACACTGCATACTGATCTAACCAAAATTGAACACAAGTACAATGGCAGATTAGGGAGCTGGGGAGGCCCCGAAGGTGGAAGTCTGTGGGTGTGTTGGGGGTGAGGGGAAAGAGATCAGGAGGTAATAAAAATGATACCTACTATACATGGGTTAAATCAATAGACCACAATAGTACAACACCAAATTCACAAAGTGGAAAGAAGTTTCTCCTGAGGAATATTAAATTAAATAGGGATGAGGGGTGATGGGAATGCATAGCTTTTTTTTTTTTTTCTGAGATAGAGTCTCGCCCTGTCATGTTACCCAGGCTGGAGTGCAGTGGCGTGATCTCGGCTCACTGCAACCTCCGTCCCCTGGGTTTAAGCGATTCTCCTGCCCCAGCCTCTTGAGAAGCTGGGACTACAGGCGCATGCCACCACGACATCCAGCTAATTTTTGTGTTTTTGGTACACACGGGGTTTTACCATGTTGTCCAGGATGGTCTCGATCTCTTGACCTCGTGATCCGCCCGCCTTGGCCTCCCAAGGTGTTGGGATTATAGGCGTGAGCCATCGCGCCAGGCATGGAATGGCTAGTTTTCAACGTGCCTTTTAGAAATACTTCACTAGCCGGGGCGCGGTGGCTCAAGCCTGTAATCCCAACACTTTGGGGGGCCAAGGTGGGAGGATCACTTGAGCCCAGGAGTTCGAGACTAGCTGGGCAACATAGTAAGATGCCATTTCTACAAAAAAAAAAACTTTAAAAAATTAGCCGGGCGCGGTGGCTCACGCCTGTAATCCCAGCACTTTGGGAGGCCGAGGCGGGCGGATCACAAGGTCAGGAGATCGAGACCACGGTGAGACCACGGTGAAACCCCGTCTCTACTAAAAATACAAAAAATTAGCCGGGCGCGGTGGCGGGCGCCTGTAGTCCCAGCTGCTTGGGAGGCTGAGGCAGGAGAAAGCCGTGAACCTGGGAGGCGGAGCTTGCAGTGAGCCGAGATCGCGCCGCTGCACTCCAGCCTGGGCGAGGGAGCGAGACTCCGTCTCAAAAAAAAAAAAAAATTAGCCGGGCGTGGCAGCCTGCACCTGTAGCCCCAGCTACTCCAGAGGCTGAGACGGGAGGATCGCTTGAGCCCAGGAGTTTGAGGTTGCAGTGAGCCAAGATCGTGTCACTGCACTCCAGCCTGGGCAACAGCAAGACCCTATCTTTAAAAACTAAATAAAACAGAACATAACGAAATTAAACAAAGAGAATAGGGACGACTCCTGGGTTGGGTTTTGTTAGTCTGTTTGTTTCTGGTTTGTTTAGTCTTTCAACTGAGGATCTGAATGGGTGAAGATACTTTCAATGAGATGGGTATGTCTGGGAAAGACCAAGAAGGGGTAACAGGTAGGTTTCTTCAGTTAAGATTCATTGTCGCCCCGTTCGGGTTGAGATCCCTAAGGAAAGAAAGTTCTGAGAGAAGAGGATGGGTGGACGTCACAATAAGGCAAAAAGCATTACAGGGGGAACTTCCTATCAGAACTTTCTAACAATCAGGCGGAGAGCAGACAGCTCTATCTTGGACGGGGTGGTGGCCAGCAGCTCTCTCGGGCCAGGGCTGAAGAAAACCTCCAACGCTCGGACTGCCTCCCCGACTTCCGAAGCAGCGGTGTCGTGCGGGGCTGACCCACGAGCATCCCTAGGGACAGGGCCATGTTCAAGTGCCGGTTCCCGCGCTGCAAGAGGGGGCGGCGGCCGGAGCTGGCCCAGGGGGCGGGCGGCACGGAACCGCCACGCGCACACGCCTCGGGCCGGGGCGGCCGAGGATAAGGGGCCTGAGGGAGCGGACGCTCGAGAACGGGCGTCCCCGGGACCACCTGGGCCACGGGGCCGACGCCCGTGGGGGCAGAGCGCGCCTCACGTGAGGCGAGGGGCGGGGCAATCCGCTCCTCGCCTCAGGCGGAATCGCTCACCCGACGGCACGTAGTCCTCGTCCTCCTCCGACGTGGAGAAGTCTTCGGAGTCGAATTCCTCCATGTTGCTGCCGCTTGATGCCGGTCAAACTCGCAGGACCGCAGCAGCTGCCTCCAACGGCAAAGCTCTAGGGAGAGACCATAGAGCCCCGGCAGCGACGACGGCAGCTAGGGCGGCCCCGACAGCGCTTTGCACATGCGCAGAGAGTACTACGTGGTTTCCTTACGACACTTCCGGCCGATGCCTGCGGGCTGGCGTCCCGGAGCCCCTCACTGGGAGCCCGAACCCGCCCGGACGCGGTGCATGCTGGGACTTGTAGTCTTCGGCGCTGCCTCGCCGCCTTCATTTACCGAGGCGGGCGGATCACGAGGTCAGGAGATCGAAACCATCCTGGCTAACACGGTGAAACCCCGTCTCTACTAAAAATGCAAAAAAATTAGCCGGGCGAGGCGGCGGGCGCCTGTAGTCCCAGCTACTCGGGAGGCTGAGGCAGGAGAACGGGAGGCGGAGCTTGCAGTGAGCCGAGATCGCGCCACTGCACTCCAGCCTGGGCGACAGAGCGAGACTCTGTCTCAAAAAAAAATAAATAAATAAATAAAAAATAAATAAATAAAATTACATATCTGTGGAAATACAGGTGACCTTCATTAATCATTAGTTCGTAATGTCAAATTCACTTACTTGCTAAAATGTATTTGTAACCCTAAAATCAATCATCACGGTACTTTCTGGGGTTCTTCCTGGGCATGCGCAGAGGGTGAAAATTTGGAGTTGGCGGAGGTACAGGTTCCCAGCTGAGGTTTGAACTAGGCAGAAGCCCCGCCTTCTAATTGCACCTCCCGTGCTGTAAACAAAGAGTCCTTTCTGCAATCTGTTTACTGACACTTTTATTTCTGCTTTTTGTGGGTGCTTTTGCTGTTTAAAATGGCCCCCAAGCGTAGAGCTGAAGCTCTGGCCGGTGTTCCTAAGCAAAAGGAAGACAATGACGTGCCTTACGGGAAAGTCCACGTGTTGGATAAGCTCCGATCAGGAATGAGTTACTGTGCTGTTGGCCATGAGCTCAATGTTAACGAGTCGACAATCCCGTACATCAAGAAAAAGGTAAAGGAAATTCACCGATCTGTCCGTGAGGCCGCTCCGGATAGTGCTGAAGTGACCTACATCGTGCGTGATGAAGCTATGGAAAAGATAGAAAAGCGGCTAAATTTGTGGATTCATGAGATGTCGACGGATTAAAAACAAACAAACAAACAAAAAAAACGTAGTGGACCGCACTGTTGTGAGGCTGAAAGCCAAAGTTATCTATGGTCACGTTACCCAGGGTCAGAGAAATGCTAAACCTTTATCGGCGAGTGCTGGCTGGCTCGCGCGTTTCCAAACGGCGATACGGGTAAACAATGTTAAACTTGCTGGTGAGGCGAGTTCTGCAGATCAGAAGGCTGCGAAAGAATTTTTAAAATACTTGCTAAGTGTTATACAGGAAAAGCGTTATGTGGAAGAGCAGGTTTTCAATGACGATGAGACTGGCTTATTTTACAAGGATGTTGGCAAACGAACCTACATAATGCAAACGGCCTCCAAAGCCCCTGGCTTTAAATCATGCCAGGATCATACACCCTTGTTATTGTGCGCCAATGCCAAGGGCGACTTTAAGTGCAAACCCCTAATGGTGTACAGAACCCTAAATCCACAAGCGCTTAACGGGAAATACGGGAACCATCTGCTAGTCCACTGGAGTTGGAACAGAAAAGTGTGGATGATGTCCAATTGGTTCCACAGCTGCTTCATCCCAGAAGTTGAACACTATCTCCAGGGCAGAAATCTTGCCTTCAACGTTTTGTTTGTTTGTTTGTTTTTTAACGGAGTTTCGCTCTGTCACCCAGGCTGGAGTGCAGTGGCGGGATCTGGCTCACTGCAAGCTCCGCCTCCCAGGTTCACACCATTCTCCTGCCTCAGCCTCCCGAGTAGCTGGAACTACAGGCGCCCGCCACCTCGCCCGGCTAATTTTTTTGCATTTTCAGTGGAGACGGGGTTTCACCGTGTTAGCCAGGATGGTCTCGATCTCCTGACCTGGTGATCCGCCCGCCTCGGCCTCCCAAAGTGCTGGGATTACAGGCGTGAACCTGTAATCCGCGCCCAGTGCCTTCAAGGTTTTATTAATTTTGGATAATGCGACAATCCATTGCTGCAAAGAACTTGAAAATGCACAACCCAACATACAAGTTCTTTTTATGCCCCCAAACACTAAGTCTCTCATTCAACCCCTCAGTCAGGGCATAATAAAAGCATTTAAGGCACACTACACAAGGGAGCTTTATACGAAGGCCTTTGAGGCTCTCAGGACCAACAAGGAAATCGCCACGCTGGACTATTGGAAGTCGGTCACTATACTCAACGTTATTCATTATGTCGGCACAGCCTGGGAGCATTGGTCAGGCTACTATCAATAACTGTTGGGAAAATGTTTGGCCAGACTGCGTGGAGAATTTTGAAGGCTTTTAAGGTGTTACACAAAATATAAAGAACAGTGTCAGAGACATAATGCATATGGCACAGCAGATAAGTGGAGAGGGCTTTGATGACATGAAGGAAAGAGATATGGAGGAGATTTTGGCAGAGAAGGCAGTGGAACCAATGAAGACCTGGATGAGATGGCAAAACAAGGCATTGGAGTTGACGAAGAGGATGGCCATGAAAGTCGGCCCGAGACTTCCAGAATTGTCCCTCTCACAGCAGCCAAAATACTGGAATGGAGTTCTGCCTTGGAAAAAACTTTTATCGACATGGAAGAGTGTGACTCTATGCTTGATCGAAGCCTCAGATTTAAGCGCCTGGCCTCCCCTGCGTTTGCCCCTTATACCGAGATGCTTAAAGATTTCAGGCAGAAAAGCCAAGCAGGCAGCCGGGCGCGGTGTTTCAAGCCTGTAATCCCAGCACTTTGGGAGGCTGAGACGGGCGGATCACAAGGTCAGGAGATCAAGACCATCCTGGCTAACACGGGGAAACCCTGTCTCTACTAAAAATACAAAAAAATTAGCCAGGCGTGGTAGCGGGCGCCTGTAGTCCCAGCTACTCGGGAGGCTGAGGCAGGAGAATGGCGTGAACCCAGGAGGCGGAGCTTGCAGTGAGCCAAGATCGTGCCACTGCACTCCAGCCTGGGAAAAAAAAAAAAAAAAAAAAAAAAAAAAAAGCGCCAAGCACGCAAGGCTAATGCAATTTCCCAAGCCAGTTTGGGAGGGAAGATTGCCCACTCCTTCAACAAGTGTCAAGAGCCAACTCCTAACGTAGAAATGCCAGAGTTTCACCTGCCACCCTCTTCCTCTTCTGCAGAATACATTTCACTCACCCCTCCCCTGGTTTCTGTGGCACAAGCGAAGGTCGAGAGGTTTAACCACATTCTGCAGGTCCATCAACCATAAGATTTTAGTTGATATTTTTATAAAACTTAGGATGCTCCATCTTTTTCACTTTATTTGTATTGCTGTACTGTAGCGTATACAGTATGTGTGCGAAGTAGTGTACGTGTTTACTGTGGGAACTGTACGGTATGTTATGCTGTTTACTGTATATGGGTAGTATATGTGTGTACTCTGTGTGTGACAATGAAAAGGTAGTACAGGCCGGGTGTGGTGGCTCACACCTGTAATCACAGCACTTTGGGAGACCAAGGTGGGCGGATCACAAGGTCAGGAGTTCAAGACCATCCTGGCCAACATGGTGAAACCCTGTCTCTGCTAAAAATACAAAACTTAGCTGTGCGTGGTGGCAGGCGCCTGTAATCCCAGCTACTCGGGAGACTGAAGCAGGAGAATCGTTTGAACCTGGGAGTCGGAGGTTGCAGTGAGCCGAGATCATGCCATTGCACTCCAGCCTGGACAAAAGGGCAAGACTCTGACTCAAAAAAAAAAAAAAGTAGTACAATCTCAGTATACTAGAGTACATTACACCAAACTACTGTCATTGAAATTTTATTGTAAATACTGCAGATTATTTCTAAGAAAAACATATTAAATAAGGTGTCCTTGAACGGAAACACACATAAAACAAAGTTACATACTGATCAGTTGACACAAGTGTTGACCAGAGGTTCACAGGAACCTAACCCTGTATTTCACCCAGGAGTCATGGTTCAGTTTTTGCTAATTCAATGTTCTCGACAACTTTATAGACATAACTACTGTGAATACAAAGAATGGACTATTCAGGAATGCAGTTATCATCCACACGAACTCTTCAAGTTAAATCATATGGAAGTGCAACCATATATAATCTTTACCATTTCTTCAGATTAAAACATTTTAATGATCTATTTATGAGGTAACAATCAGAAACAAATTCAGAAGAGACATCAATGACTACCATACTATTTGGTTTTGTTTGTTTGTATTTGAGATGGAGTCTCGCTCCCTGGTTCAAGCAATTTCCCTGCCTCAGCCTCCCAAGTAGCTGGGATTACAGGCACACGCCACCACGCCTGGCTAATCTTTTTGTATTTTTAGTAGAGATGCGGTTTCATCATGTTAGCTAGACTGGTCTCAAACTCCTGACCTCAGGCAATCTGCCTGCCTCGACCTCCCAAAGTGCTGGGATTACAGGCGTGAGCTACCGTGCCTGGCAACTATTTGCTTATCCTATATATAGATAGGAGTTTTTGTCAGCTGAAATTGCTCCTCATTGATACTCTGGACTAGACTGGGTCTGTAAATCCAGGAAATCAAGAAATAAATCTTTTGTGAATCAAGGCATAGACGAGACATGCATGTGATTAATAAGACATTACAGTGGCTCTATACCAGCAAACTTTAAAAAATAGCCTTATTGAGACACAATTCACACACCATAAAATGTACCCATTTAAAGTGCACAATTCAGGCTAGGCGCGGTGGCATTCTAGCCTGGGTGACAGAGTGAGACTTTGACTCAATAAAATAAAATAAAATTTGAAAGTGCACAATTCAATTGTTTTTGGTATATTCAGACTTGCACAATCATCACTAAATCCATTTAGAACATTTTCATTGCCCCAAAAATAAACCGTTTCTCACTCCCCATTCATGCTCATTCTTCTCCTCAAAGACCATCCTCTATAGATTTGCTTATTCTAAACATTTATTTCATATGAATGGAATCAGACAATATGTGGTCTTTGAGGCCTGGTTTCTTTCACTTAGCATGACATTTTCAAAGTTCATTTCTCTTAGGTATATCGTAAGTGGGATTGCCTGATCATATAA